GAATATTAAACAGAATATTAAGTAAAGACCTGGAAAAATGCCCTGTAGTTAGTAATCTAAATAATGCTTATACCGTGCTCCTGACTGCCAGAGTGGGGATATTATTTCATGGTTATTATTGTTACATGGTTATGTTCACATACTCTGTTTAAAGCCATATAATTAGCAAACCCTTTAAAATAAAACTGCTAAAATGTTCTTCTGTGCTATTCTTTCTGCTCACCGTTCACTGAGAAGCCTTCTGTGCTTCAGTCTATTGTGCTAATATTGATTTCTTTGCCCACCTGCCAGCTTTCTTATTCTTAGGCATCTTGAAAATACCTTAATTGGTTGTCATTCTCTCCACATGGGAGCCATCTGATTCCCTTGGCTCTCTCTGTGAGGACCCATCGGATAGGGATTTTTTCAATGGCACCCTTTTCCCACTAGATTCCTCACCTCATCCATTGTGCGGTTCTGAAAAGCCGTTTTGCCCGATTGCTTAGATACCAGTTGCTGCTGGGCCTATTTCTCATTGTCAGTCTCACAGCTCCCAACAACCTCCTCTCCCTTACTTTTTTTTTTTTTTTTTTTTTGGTATGGTTATAATTAGAAATGATGTTGTGAATTATTGACTTCAGGTAAACTTCTATGGGTCCTTTACCATTCCTATGATTCCAATATTAATGGAAGCAATTTAGTTTTATTCAGCATTTCTTTTCTTTTTCTCATATATTATTCAAGATCTACAAACCATTGGCTTTTGATTGTTGAATTTGCAGTGTTTCAGGATTTTCCGTTGTGTCCACCCCTTTTTAAAAATCAACATAATTTTATCACCTTTTTTAGAGAACAGAAGTAGAATCATTTAGACTTGCAAATGACAAGGAAGGGTAACTTAGGTAAATTTGTGGGTAGACTGCTTACCTTAGTTTGATTGGTATGATTATTTTTTTGCTGTACTTTTGTTAGGCACAGAATCTTCCCCAGTTATAGATCTTTGCTTATGCTTTTGCCTCTTTCAATCATGTGACATCATATATGTGAAGGTCACTCAATGATAGTTCCCCTAAGTTAGTCTTAAATCAACAGATTAAAAGTGTAGTTCCAAAACCCAAATTTATTCCCATGGAAATGTATAGAAATAGTCTCAGTACTCAGAAAGGCTGAATGTATGCTATTTTTCTTTTCACTAGTTCAATGCATCACAAATCTTCCTTCCCACTGCCTCAGAACCTTAAGACTATGGTATTTTACCATACAACTCTCTTTGGGTATATATTTTGTTGTATGGTTTATGTTGTTGTTTTTTTTTTTTTTTACTTGGAATTCATTGTAGTGTATGTTGTTTTTTAATACATTTTTTGTGTGGAAAATTTTGAACATCTACAAAAGTCTGTTATCACTTAACTTTAATAATTATCAATTCATATTGAATTTGTTTCATCTATACTCTTTCCTACTCTCCCATACCCCTTGGATAATAGTGAGAATCCCTGACATCGTATCATTTCATCTGTTAGTATTTAAGTATTGCATTTGGTCGATGATATGTTTCTTAAATCTCTTTTAATTCATAGTTGTTCTTCCTTCTCTTTTCTTATAATTTGGTAAAGTCCTTTAAGCTTTCTCAAATTTTAATTTGGTGATTGCATCCCCTTATATAATTATATAATGTGTTCTTCTATTGATTAAATTTCCTGTAACCTGATAGGTAGGTCTAGAGATTTGATCAGATTCCATTTTATTTTGGGGCAAGAATAGTTCATGGGAATGTTATACACTTCTACCAGGAGACAAAATGTCTGCCTGTTTCTCTGTGATGCTAAGATTATTCAGTGTGTTCAATTGTTGCCAGCCAGATCCATCCTTTATAAAGTTTCTCATCAACTATTAATGTAAAATTTTTATTTTTTGTTGATGACCATTAACTAGAAATCATTATTATTGCAAAATAGTATATTCTAATATTAACATTTTTTCTTATTTATTAGATTTCATTGAAAATATTTATTTTGTTGAATTAAATAAAAGTTGATTATTGAGCACCTATGATGTAGTATATAGTACTCTGCTAGATGGTATAAAGGGAAGGCAAATGCATGGACTGTGCTTTAAGGAAACAAACAGTATATTCAAAATAATTAGCAAGTAGTTATAGTGTGGTAAACAAAATAAGAAAAGAGAGATGACCGTGGATTGGATAAGGTTTCATGGAAGATGTGGGCCATGAGCATTTTTTAAAGTATGGGGAATCTGATGACATTCCAAGTAGAGGAGCAGTTTGAACCACTCCACGAAGCTAAGAATAGGAATGGCGTTAACAGAAAGGGCACAGGAACAAACCCAGCTAGAGATTACATATTAGCTAGGTTAAAGTGGGGTGATGGTTGGTAGTGACAGAGCTAAATTATTTACATTCTATATTGATCAACTGGCATCACTGTTGTGAACTTTCTGGTTTTATTCTAAAGACATTTGGAAAAGGACTTTGAGTGGACTAGGGAACTACAACCAAGCTCAATGATTTGGAAATTGATTTGTCATAAATAAAACCTCATCTGAGCCTAAGAAATATATTATGTTCCAAGTCAGATGTAAAATGTAAAGAATAGTCATGTTGATGTATATGTATAGTAATAAAAAAAATCCAAACTACAGGGAGACTTGTGGTTCCACAGATCAAACCAGGATATTTGAAAAGGAGAGACAGGTGTACAGGGTGTGGTGTGAAGCTATGGCAAAATTAAAGATGTTGGGCTTAATTTTGGAAATGTTGGATTTTAAGTGCACATACAAATAGCCAAGTCTTTAAGAATTTGTTAATATAAGATTAGATTGTAGGCAAAAAGATAGATTGATAATGTAAATTTTATAGTCAGATGCATAGAAATGAACTCATAGAAAAGGACAAGAGCATCAAATAATGAAGAGAGAGAGAGAGAGAGAGAGAGAGAGAGAGAGACGCTGGCGGGTCAAAGAAAGGATAAGGTAGGGTTGGGGGTTTAGGGTAGACACAGGAAGCAAGAAGAAGAAAAAAAGAGAGCAGTATCCATTGGTGGAGAGGCAGGCGAGAGCAACGTCACAGCCTGGGATAGAGGTAGTTTCAAGCAAGAAGAGATGGTCACCAGGGTCTGCTGTCACCATGAGTTCATGAGGGAACAGAAAATTGTCCTTGGGGAGATCACTGGCAACTCTCAGCAGGATACTTGACTTTAACTGTAGCAAGTTCAGATAGAAGATAACTTACAGGAAGGAAAGGTTTGGAAGCAGGTCAGGATGGAAAGCATAGATGAACTAGTCTAGGAATGGGGTTCCAAAGAAGAAGGTAAAAATATGTTGGCCAGGATAAACAGCAGGTAGGGTAAACTGAACTATATTTGAAAACCAGGATATTCCTGAGTTATTTTGATAAATAGGGCAAAATGTATTTTTAGAAAATGAAAATTTTGGCTGAAAGCTTATTTAGTTACTTTAATCATATTTATAGAACATTATTTTATTTACTTAATTTTCATTTTATATATTATCATTAATGAATAAAACTTACATCACATGTGTAATGACTGAGGTATTTAATTGAGAATGCTAGTTTTTCCTTTTGTAAAAAAAATTTTGCATACCTCTGCATTTCCCTGCTGGCTGCTTCCTCAGCCAAATGTATACGTGGATCAGGGAAGTGTTTGTTTTTATTTTGTTAGTTTCATTGGTTTCCTGCTTCCAAGGATAATGTATGTTTATTGAAAAAATGTCACATACCACAGAAAGGTTTAAAGAGTAAATTTTTTAAATCCCATGAAATGATGCTATTCAAAGGTAACCAATATTTTTATTTTGGCAAGCCCCTTTCCAACTCTCTTTCTATGCATAGATACATGGTTGATATTTTATATTAATAAGATCATACTATAAATATGGTTTTTTAATCTGTTTTTTGCATCTAATAATATGTTGTGGATATTTTCTATGTCACTGAATATAGAGATATAACATCCTTTTTCAATGGCAGTCGCTGTATGAAGGTACCATAATTGATTTAAGCCATCTCCTACTGCCAGACATTTAGCCTTTTTCCAATTTTTCTGTTTTGAGAAGCACTGCAGTATACATTCCAGTGCACATTTTTTGTACACTTGTTTTGTTGATTGTCTTCTTTGGATAATTTTCCAGAAGTAGGGTTGTGGGTCAAAGGCTATTCATATTTTAAATTGTGATACATATTTATAATATATATTGTCCAGTACTCAACAGAAAAGCTGTATCAAGTATACTTCTACCAATAACACATACAAGTACCCAGAAATTCCTTTAATTATCTTGAAACGATTAAACCCTGTGCAAGATCAGCAGCTGCTCTGTCAGAAGAGACTGTGCCTCACCAGCATAGCTCTCTTATTAGAGAAAGTAATAAATTCCAACTTCGTCTTCTTATTTCACATACTAAAGACTCATCATCCTTTGGAAAGAATTTTTAAGTCCATTAAATTTACTTGTCTTATATTTTACTTTTCTTAATAAAACACAAATGAAGTTTGTAAAAAAAAAAAAAAAGCCTTAAAATGATTATTCATTTTAATTCAGGCCCATTTTCCATACTTGTAAAATAAGAAGGCTGGTCAGTGGTTCTTAAACTTTTTGGAGTCTTAGGACCATTTGAGAATTTTTGAAACCTATCTAACCTACTTTCCAGGAAAACACATATATGCAAAAACACAGATATTTTGACATATTATTTACAGGAATTCACAGAGTTTTTGAAGTCAAATTACAGACTCTTCAGGACCTCACTCCATGAATCCAGGTGAAGAATCTCTGAATGAGATAGCTTTAAAGTTGCTTTTTGTTTTTAACACTAACACACATCTTGTACACACATATCATACATTTATATGCATGCAGAATTTAAATGTATATTTGGACAAAATTTGACATTTGCTTGATACAAAACCTAGTCTCATTATGACCTGTGAAATCACTTGTGTATACATAGCTATTGGAATGAAGTTTTCTATTTGTTTCAGGTTATTCAATGGCGAGCCCACCAGGAAGAGGTAGCAAGACTGGAAATGGAAATTTCTTCCAGAAGAAGAGAAAAGGAAGAGGAGAAAAAGAAGCTGTGGAAAGAAAAGGAATTGTTGCAAAGAGAGGAGAAGAAAAAAAAGGTATAAAATCTATTGTCAGTGTGAATGAATATTTAATGGCCTAATTGAGCTTTAATTGATCTTGGTGTTTGGCATAGAATTCTCCTAGGCAGTTCTGAGAAAATGCATGAGGATCTAGTGGATTCTTGCTTCAGTTTATTTGAGCTTCAAAGATTTGTTGACATGGAGGAGAACTCACTTTGTTGATCTACACGAGTATAGGTACCTGTGATTATCAGAGATGCTGCAGGTAAAACAAAACAAAACAAAAAGGATGACGTTTGTTACTATTATTAAGTCCTGCAGTAAGTAGGGACTCAGGGGTGGGGAACCTTTTCATGTTGGAAGGCCACATTAATTTAGCTGTAATCAAATAAGGCCACATTCAAGAAAGTTCAATTAGATATACTTAAAAATGTATATTATTTTGTAAAAATGTAACTACTATGTACTTAATAATTTAAAAAAATGAAAACTATTTGTTAATTTTAAAGTTAACTAACCTTTTAATGACTTTTTTCTGTCTGCCTTTTGTTGAAAAGCATTTGAATATTTGGTTGCAGCATGGAAGTACACAGTTTCAGTTGATCCTATAGATGGGTATCAGTCATTTGTGACCTTAAGAGTGTCTGGATTTGGATTAGGTAAGAGAATGGAGATTCTCGCAGCAACAAGTGATTGAAAAGCAAGAAAGCATTTTTCAGGCATGTTGCTGAAGGCGTGGGTATCCTATTGCAATTTTCCATATTTCAATTAGATCTTCCTTAGCATCAAACAATGACTTTAAAATGTCATCTCCTGAGAGCTCAATCAATTCCATCTATGTTCTTTAGGTACCTTGGTGATGTCAACTAGGTGAGGCTGAAATGCTAATTTGAGTGTGATGTCATGGTTCTCAAAGTCAGTGAACCTTTCATTGTATTCTACAATTATTAATAGTAGGTCTATAACAGCTGCATATTCTTCAAATGATTCGCATATATCGTCCTGCTCATCAATGAACTTGACTAACTGGGGAAAATGTTCATCCAAATTTTTTTTTTAAGAAGTAATGTTTTGAAAAAAGATGGCTTTTTTCCAGATGCTTGGATTTTTTGCCACATAGCATATATAGATTTAGTTTTACCTTGTAAAGAAATATTCAAGTCGTTTCGATTTGACATATCACACAGAAATGTTGCATTCCTATAGAAATCTTTCAATAGTTCCTGTTGCTGATTCTGTTCTTCATTAAATTTAACAATATGTTCTTGCAGAGATAAAATTTTGGCTAATACCTACCTATCCCTGCGATAGCCAACACACTTTACAATGGTATGGTAAATCCACACTGAATACCGCTCTTTAGCATGTTACAAAACTGGCCTTGCCATGTTGCATTGTACCAATACAGTTAACAATAATTATAACTTGATGCAAAGTGTCACTTAAAATAGTAGCTTTAGCACAGAGATTTTGCTGCTACAAGATACAATGAAAACAAATAATAACATTTGGATCTGTTAATACTTTTTCTTATCTGTGCAATAAACCCTTCATGTTTTTCTCTCATAGAATGTGTACTTTCTGTACACATACTCATTGAATTTACCAAATTCAGTCCAACTTTACAATATTTATCTTGATAGTTGTTGAAGATCTCTATTCTCTGTGTTCTGTTCCCAAATAAGATGCCCAAAGTGAGTAACTGTTTGTAATAAAGACGATCTGTTATGACCCCAATGAAGTATAAAACCTATTCCAAGTCAGTAGTATCAGTTGATTCATCCAAAGTGATTGAATAATATATATTTTCCTTTTGAAGTATTGTATGAAGTTGTTCTGTTAAATCGAAGGCTAATTCATGCTGCCAGTCATTTATGGTTCTCCTTGAAAGAGGCAGTTGTTCGTACTTTGAAACATTATCAGGGCCTAAGCATCCTATAACTTTGACAGTGCATTCTTTCAAAATTTCCATATCACTGAATGGATTCCCTTTCACCCCAAGTATATAAGCTATTTTATAAGTTGCTTCAGTGGCATTATTTACAGGTCTTATTGCTGCTTGAAAGAATTGTCTTTGCTTTTGCTTTTCATCTTTTAATTTCTGTAATACAACCTTTTGCACCTCTCCCTCTAATTTAAAATATTTGTGGTCCTTATGAGTGTTATAATGCTGATGAGCATTGAATTTCTTTAATGCCCATATTGCAATATCACAAAGCAAGCAAATCATCTTATCTTTAGCCAAAACAAGATAATATTGCAATTCCCAATCCTCATTAAAAAATCTGTTTCCTTTCTTCAGCATTCTCTTGGTCTTCTTTGACATGATGGGCTGTTAAGCACACAGAATTAAAAAATACTATGGAGCTGTGTAACTATTCACAAATTTCACTTCAGACAGAAGCAGTGTGCACTGTTATCAAAAGCTGATAACAGACTGGTTATCTGTTGTCCCCCATAAACTTTCGCCAACCAGCCTCATGCAGTAGTGGTGCCAGTCAGGCAGGGGAAGTTAGAACTAAATCATGAGCAGAGCAGCTGTTAATTTAGCCCTTATGGCTTACTAATGTTCTAATTGTGCCAGTCAATCTGGGAGGATTATTTTCTTGAAACTTATTTTATTCTTTGGTATTTTAGATATGTTCATTTAAAAAATAAAAATATAAAAGACAAACAGGAATACATTAATAAAAATAAAAGGATTTGTTCTGCAAAATTTGTATTCAGTCAAAAGGCCATATTTAAGGACCTAGAAGGCCACTGGTTCCCCCCAACCCCCCGACATGGTAAAAACTAGGGGGTTCTGGGATAGCATCTTGGTTAATGGCAATGTGGCAAATGATTGCCAAAAATGTCATTGTTGGTGGAATATATTTCACTAGTCATAGTACAATTCATTGAAGGCCAAAATGACCTTTAAAGAGTTTTACTTCTTGATTATTTGTTAGATGGTTTTGTTTTTTCATTTGCTGACACAAACTCATTATTCCTCTTTTGAGCAAACATTTATTTCACAATCTTATATTCACCAAAACAAATGATTGCTGATAATCTATGGAAGGTAGAAAATACTTGAAGGCTATTTTTGTTTCTTGGTTTTTAAATATATTAATATATGATGTATTTATTTAGGCATTTTTGTTTTCACAACAAAACTAACAAAATTCACAATAAACATACTTTTGTTAAAATTTTTATCAGATTTATTAATCAATGTCTTAAATGGAGTTGCTGACTTCCATAGAAATAATTCACAAAAGGCAATTAATTTGTGAACAACACAATGAAAGGAAATGTTGTTAATCTACACACTTGTATTGACTTGATCTGTGTGATATAAAAAATGTTTTCTTTTGAAAAGCGGCTTACAGTGCTAAGAATGACTGATTAATTCATAATTCATTGGTAGATAAACTTTTCACTTTTGTAAACATTGTTGATATTTTTGGCTATGTAACCAACTAGATCTAACAAGCTCTTGTCTTAAAGCTTTTCTTCAAAGTAAAATATGTGAGAGATAAAGGAACTATGGATTTTTAAGTTATAAGCCAGTTTTTTTGTATTTTACTTTGCTTTAGTTGTCATGGTTATTGATTTGTTTGTGTCTTGAAATCAGCAAATTGGTATAGAAACAGCATGTGTAGAAAACAACATACATAGAAGTTGTATGATTATTTGACAAAGTCAGCTGCTAAGAAAATATAATTCATGGTTCTTATATTTTTAATTTAAGAATGAATTTAATTTCTACTTCTAAGGAAGTTGGGTGGTTTCATCAAGTTGCTGTCAAGAGAGTTGATGGTTAAAGGGAATAATTACACATACTTCAGAAACTCATAAATATTGATCATGTTCAAATAATGTAAGTAAACTACATATCTCTGTCAGGGACTTACCAATTATTTACTGTTATGAAAGTACAGTATTTGAAAAGCATATCCCTATAGTTTTGTCATCTACCTGGACCTTCATAGCATTTCCTCACTATGAATTAGTATGACCACAAAAAGTATTATGTTTTTAGGCATTTGTTGACATATAGTGTCATATATATATCACATAAATGCCACATAAAGAGGTTTAGATGCAGTTCCATTCCCTGGAGTTTACAAAGACAGGTGAGAATGCACAATTAAATAACTCAAGTACTGAGACTAGGAGTAGGTGCATTTAATTGTAGAAAATAAATCTAAGCTAATCAATTGGCATAGTCACACAGAAGATGGAGGGACATTGCTAGTTGTCATCTTTGTAGTCTGTAAGATTTCTGAAAGTTAGAGAAAGGCATTTTGAAAGACAGGAAAGAGAGCTTTCTGAGATTGCAGATGGGGTTGATGTTCAGCCTATATAATGCCTAGTCTAGAGTTCCATGGGATCCAGGTTAGGGTAGTCCTAGCCTAGCTCTTAAAATGGAGAATTTAAGCAGGGCTCACATAAAAAGGAGACATATCCCTTGTCTAGCAGTTCAAAATTCTCTCTAAATTTTAAGCCAGTTCCTAATCTACACACCACCCACATTGTACAATCAAGAGGCAAGAAGCATTATCAAGAAAGCCAGGACACCTCAACTGGTAATGTGACCCTACCTTGGAGATATTTCTAGGGAGGGATCTATCATTTTGTGACTTACTAGCTTCTTGTGACATCATACTTGTAAATACCACAAGAGCCATACTTCAGTAAAACATTGGCACTTGAGTGTTCCCCCATGCCCTCCGGTGATCAAATATCCAGAATTATACACATCCTACAGATAGCCAGGAGGAGGATAAACAGTCTAAAATAAAAGGGGATAGACTATCACAAACAGAATGGGGGTTAGAGTGACAGTGCTTCTCAGAAAACTCCAGAAGCTCTGCGCTGAGGAGGGAATCTAGAGTACCTCAGTGTAGATCAAAGCCATTCTCCCAGTGTGGGGATTGTGGGTTCTTATGAAGGCAGTGAACCATCAAATCTCTTCTCCAGTGTTTTTAATCTAATAATATAGTGATCTAAAGAATTAAGAGTAGGAAAAAAGGTGGGCACAGAAGAATGAT